TCACTCTGTTAATTGTTGTGGAACCTACTTCTTTCCTCACTTTGTTAATTGTTGTGGAACCTACTTCTTTCCTCACTCTGTTAATTGTTGTGGAACCTACTTCTTTCCTCACTCTGTTAATTGTTGTGATTCCTACTTCTTTCCTCACTCTGTTAATTGTTGTGGAACCTACTTCTTTCCTCACTCTGTTAATTGTTGTGGAACCTACTTCTTTCCTCACTCTGTTAATTGTTGTGGAACCTACTTCTTTCCTCACTCTGTTAATTGTTGTGGAACCTACTTCTTTCCTCACTCTGTTAATTGTTGTGGAACCTACTTCTTTCCTCACTCTGTTAATTGTTGTGGAACCTACTTCTTTCCTCACTCTGTTAATTGTTGTGGAACCTACTTCTTTCCTCACTCTGTTAATTGTTGTGGAACCTACTTCTTTCCTCACTCTGTTAATTGTTATGGAACCTACTTCTTTCCTCACTCTGTTAATTGTTATGGAACCTACTTCTTTCCTCACTTTGTTAATTGTTGTTGAACCTACTTCTTTCCTCACTCTGTTAATTGTTGTGGATCCTACTTCTTTCCTCACTCTGTTAATTGTTGTGGAACCTACTTCTTTCCTCACTCTGTTAATTGTTGTGAACCTACTTCTTTCCTCACTCTGTTAATTGTTGTTGAACCTACTTCTTTCCTCACTCTGTTAATTGTTATGGAACCTACTTCTTTCCTCACTCTGTTAATTGTTGTGGAACCTACTTCTTTCCTCACTCTGTTAATTGTTGTGGAACCTACTTCTTTCCTCACTCTGTTAATTGTTGTGGAACCTACTTCTTTCCTCACTCTGTTAATTGTTGTGAACCTACTTCTTTCCTCACTCTGTTAATTGTTGTGATCCTACTTCTTTCCTCACTCTGTTAATTGTTGTGGAACCTACTTCTTTCCTCACTCTGTTAATTGTTGTGGAACCTACTTCTTTCCTCACTCTGTTAATTGTTGTGGAACCTACTTCTTTCCTCACTCTGTTAATTGTTGTGGAACCTACTTCTTTCCTCACTCTGTTAATTGTTGTGGAACCTACTTCTTTCCTCACTCTGTTAATTGTTGTGGAACCTACTTCTTTCCTCACTCTGTTAATTGTTGTGGAACCTACTTCTTTCCTCACTCTGTTAATTGTTGTGGAACCTACTTCTTTCCTCACTCTGTTAATTGTTATGGAACCTACTTCTTTCCTCACTCTGTTAATTGTTATGGAACCTACTTCTTTCCTCACTTTGTTAATTGTTGTGGAACCTACTTCTTTCCTCACTCTGTTAATTGTTGTGATTCCTACTTCTTTCCTCACTCTGTTAATTGTTGTGGAACCTACTTCTTTCCTCACTCTGTTAATTGTTGTGGAACCTACTTCTTTCCTCACTCTGTTAATTGTTATGGAACCTACTTCTTTCCTCACTCTGTTAATTGTTGTGGAACCTACTTCTTTCCTCACTCTGTTAATTGTTATGGAACCTACTTCTTTCCTCACTCTGTTAATTGTTGTGGAACCTACTTCTTTCCTCACTCTGTTAATTGTTATGGAACCTACTTCTTTCCTCACTCTGTTAATTGTTGTGGAACCTACTTCTTTCCTCACTCTGTTAATTGTTGTGGAACCTACTTCTTTCCTCACTCTGTTAATTGTTATGGAACCTACTTCTTTCCTCACTCTGTTAATTGTTGTGGAACCTACTTCTTTCCTCACTCTGTTAATTGTTGTGATCCTACTTCTTTCCTCACTCTGTTAATTGTTGTGGAACCTACTTCTTTCCTCACTCTGTTAATTGTTGTGGAACCTACTTCTTTCCTCACTCTGTTAATTGTTGTGGAACCTACTTCTTTCCTCACTCTGTTAATTGTTGTGGAACCTACTTCTTTCCTCACTCTGTTAATTGTTATGGAACCTACTTCTTTCCTCACTCTGTTAATTGTTGTGGAACCTACTTCTTTCCTCACTCTGTTAATTGTTGTGGAACCTACTTCTTTCCTCACTCTGTTAATTGTTGTTGAACCTACTTCTTTCCTCACTCTGTTAATTGTTTAAATGGAACCTACTTCTTTCCTCACTCTGTTAATTGTTGTGGAACCTACTTCTTTCTCGACTGATGATATTTTGCTATACGCTCATAATAGGTACCGTGTTTATGACGTGATAAGTGCCGTGTTTTTTTTTTTGTAAAACTAATTTCTGTAATACTAATTAGTGTTTGTGATATCATAATAATATGTGCCTTTTATATAACTGTATAGACGTGGATTCTGGCGGGGAGGCGAAGCAAAATTTGTTTCACCTCTTAAATTTGGTAATATTGTGTCGTCATAAAAGTTTGTTTCACCTCCCCAGAGGTTGCTAATGAGGTATGGATTGATCACATATTTGATTACGGGTTAACTTTAAGGTAAACAAATTTGCTTCACCTCACCACCAGAATCCACGTCTAAAAATACTGTTTTGATTACTTATTCTTCATCTTTCCGACTGATTATAATTAAAACGATTAATCCTCAAATAGTTCCCTTCAGATTCTTATAATTATTTAAGGTAACCTGACACACGGGACCCCCCGGGTTTTAGTCTTGTTTTGGTGATTTTAATGTCGTGCTTGGATTGGTAGGCCTAAGATTGAGGTTATGTTTTGGTAGGTTTGGAATAGAGTTTTAGATAGAGGTTAAGATCTGTAGGACCCCTTTTTGTCAAGATACTGTATTGGCCCCGCCCCCCCCCCCCCTCCTACACCCCTGGCATTGGGACTGTATTATATAAAATCACGCACACAAATGACACAATCGATTAAGGGTTGAGCAATAAATTCAGCTCCGACAATATTGTAATATTGTATACCTAACTACCTCACTAAAATGCTGATGATTTGCATGTATGATGTACCTTATCATTTGAGAGAGAGACAGCTGTGAATGTATTAATTGTTAGCATTTTTGTTTTATAGCAACACAGAATATTTGTTTCAAGTATCTTTTTTATTTATATTATATTATGTCTGAAGTGGAGTAGAACATACTGTAAATTTACTATTAAGGGGGGGGGGGGGGGGGGGGTTGGGGGGGGGGGGGGGGGTGGCTAACACACGATGTGTTAGGCTCCCAAGGGTGCATGCACTGTGAAATCGGTTCGATATTTATCTAAAACTGGTATGGTCTCATTCTGAAGTATCGTTAGTCGACCAATTTATGGGCTATCAAATTTGTTGGGCATGTTCTTATAAGGCCATATATTTTTGCTCATAATTCGGCTTTTTTTCTTAACTTCGTCCAATTTCGTAAAGATTTTGTTTAGGGCTATTTATTGTTGACGGTCCGCGTTCCCATCAGAATTTCGGGTCCTTTTTTCCTGATCAACGTAAATAAGATGTTTAACATGTTTACTGTGACCAGTGACTAAAAAACAAGATGAAGTCGACGAAATAGTAATTTGTTGCGTTGGTTGTTTTGGGACAAGTCTCAAAGCAACCAGAAATAGGGCTCCGTAGAATCTTGCATTTTAACCAGTGAGGTGAACGCATCCTATATCACGCGACATTCTCAAATTGTATAAACCACGGTCAACAATCATTCAAATCCGTAGCTTGTCAGAATGCGACATCTCTTTACCCACTTGAAGCATCCAACGTTCAGTAAAATATCTTTAGCTGCCACTTTTAATATCGTTATTACATCACTATCCATATTTTGTTTGTTGAGCTCAGCTTAGTTCGATTAATAAGGTCATTGTTGATGAAAATTCAACTATTTAAACTTAAATCATCGATTCCTAGAAAGTCTTCATATTTAATTCGTTTATTAAATAGTGATAACGTTTTACAAGATAGAGTGAGAGAGAGAGTGAGAGAGAGAGAGAGAGAGAGAGAGAGAGAGAGAGAGAGAGAGAGAGAGAGAGAGAGAGAGAGAGAGAGAGAGAGAGAGAGAGAGAGAGAGAGAGAGAGAGAGAGAGAGAGAGAGAGAGAGAGAGAGAGAGAGAGAGAGAGAGAGAGAGAGAGAGAGAGAGAGAGAGAGAGAGAGAGAGAGAGAGAGAGAGAGAGAGAGAGAGAGAGAGAGAGAGAGAGAGAGAGAGAGAGAGAGAGAGAGAGAGAGAGAGAGAGAGAGAGAGAGGGAGAGAGAGAGAGAGAGAGAGAGAGAGAGAGAGAGAGTGAGAGAGTGAGAGAGAGTGAGAGAGAGTGAGAGAGCAGAGCATGTCGTTCAAATCAATCCCATTAGACTGCGCGGTGTACACGGCTATATAATATCTTTATATCTTTGTTATATATACCTACATTGAGATAGAGATTGCAGTTGATTAGAGCTTATATAGCAATGTACTCAGTGGTGGCGGCTTACCTGCGCACCTTAACTGCTAGCAGTTCTTTATGCTGCCATTTGTGGGTTCGGTTCTTTCATTTTATGTTTAATGTTGTACTATGGGACTTATTGTCGACTTTCTCTTTACCGGTGATGTAGAAGAGTTTACTGTGGTGGAGGGTGTTGGATGCCACTCGCCATTCCGATAATATGTCAAATAACTCCCAATCATAACCTCGATATATCATTAAATTTAATAATATGTGTTGGGTATAATTTGACAGCTTAATGATTTTGTCAGGTTGCGCGGTGAATGGATATATCATGATAAATATCATCAAATGATTTTTCAAAATCATATTTTTACCAATTGTTGAATCTGCTTGTCTGACAGTTTATATTATAGAAATGCCGTTCCTAAAAACAACATATAATCAGCTATCAAGTAATCGCATTATCACGTGATCCAAATTTTAGACGTTCTGTACTTAATGAGAGTTTTCATATAGAAATCTTCAGGGTTTTTAAATTGCTGTTTGAATAGAGACAAATTGGCAGCGCAAGCATGTAAAGCTAGAAGCTTTGCATAAATTTATAAGCTTAAGTTTAATATTCGGAATGTGATAGATTGCAATATGTAAGTAAGAAAAATCTGAGCGTTAACTCTTCCTACCATATGCTAGGAGATCTAAATAGTTGGGATAGCTAACGATATGGGAGGTGACGACCTTGCAGCGGAAGCTGCAGCACTAAAACAGAAAATAAGGGATTGTAGAAAGGAAATGTGTGATACTCAGCTTATCAACGAGACGGGCGACATCGAGACCATCAAGTTGACTCTTCGTGTTAGGAAAACTCTGAGAGGTCATCTGTCAAAGGTTTGTAGTAAAGTTGATTATATTGGCGATTCTCTTCTTGACACAATGACAGATGATTAAGGCGTACTTAATTTTCGAGTCAAGCAGAGAATCGTATAATGAAATAGACATATGTGACGGGTTATCCAAACGTAACACTTACACATGTTTAAAAAAAGGGTGACCAGTTTCAGTGACCCATATCTTGTTCAGGTGTACGCGATGGACTGGGCTGAGGACAGCCGACACCTTGTCTCAGCTAGTCAGGATGGTAAACTCATAGTTTGGGACGCATACACCGCCAACAAGGTCCACGCTATTCCACTTCGTTCTTCGTGGGTCATGACCTGCACCTACGCTCCTTCCGGTAGGGTAGTTTGGTGTTTGTGGCGATATACTACTTTAACTAACATCGACTATGGCCTACCTTTCAAATTTGCTTGCCTGCTGTTTTAGCTTAGTTATAATCTGAGCAATATCGTTGTTGTCACAATATTGGACGCACACGTTTATATGATATTATATAGAAAGATGCTTTAAGCATCGAAAAATACCTCTGATTCTACTCTGATTCATGAATCAAAATGTTGTTAAACTTTAAGGGCACGCGTGCGTACGTGTTGCTTTAACTTAAAGCAACACGTACGCACGCGTGCCCTTTATTGATTTTTATTTTCTCAGGAAACTTCGTTGCGTGCGGTGGCTTGGACAATCTATGTTCTATATATAACTTGAAGACTAAAGAAGGCAACGTCAAAGTAAGCCTCATCTTCTTGAAGCCTTTAACGCGACATATTAGTGATTATGATTTTTGTACGAGGTTCGGAAAAATACACCTTTACATTATCATATCTTCCAGGTAACAAGGGAGTTGGCGGGACACAATGGTTACTTATCATGTTGCAGGTTCATCTCATCATCACGTCATCATCACGTCATCATTACGTCATCATTACGTCATCATTAGTTTACATTATCATATCTTCCAGGTAACAAGGGAGTTGGCGGGACACAATGGTTACTTATCATGTTGCAGGTTCATCTCATCATCACGTCATCATCACGTCATCATTACGTCATCATTACGTCATCATTAGTTTACATTATCATATCTTCCAGGTAACAAGGGAGTTGGCGGGACACAATGGTTACTTATCATGTTGTAGGTTCATTTCTGATAAGCATCATCATTACGTCATCATCACGTCATCATCACGTCATCATCACGTCATCATTACGTCATCATTCTTTACATTATCATATCTTCCAGGTAACAAGGGAGTTGGCGGGACACAATGGTTACTTATCATGTTGTAGGTTCATTTCTGATAAGCAGATTCTTACTTCCTCAGGTAGGCTCTCTATTCACTGTTACTTGTATTTTATATGTGTAACTAACAGTGACTCACCAATACCAATACTAATGAACTGAGTGCTGGTCCCAAGTCCAGACACCTTCATCTATTGCTTTTCGTTACTATGACCATGTCTAGTCTTTGACTAATGATTCGCACATTTCCTGGGACAATTTCTCACCTCAGAGGAGGGTATTCTTACGAGTGTTATCTCTCGATCAATGATAACACACATCACGTCATCATCACGTCATCATCACGTCATCACCACCGTCATCATCACGTCATCATCACGTCATCACCACCGTCATCAACCTACGCCTAACCAGCCGTTTAGCTGTACACCAGGACCGAGGAAGAAGTGACATTACTACCTCCTTATATCAGCGCCACACATCATTTAACATTACTACCTCCTTATATCAGCGCCACACAACATTTAACATTACTACCTCCTTATATCAGCGCCACACATCATTTAACATTACTACCTCCTTATATCAGCGCCACACATCATTTAACATTACTACCTCCTTATAACAGCGCCACACATCATTTAACATTACTACCTCCTTATATCAGCGCCACACATCATTTAACATTACTACCTCCTTATATCAGCGCCACACATCATTTAACATTACTACCTCCTTATATCAGCGCCACACATCATTTAACATTACTACCTCCTTATATCAGCGCCACACATCATTTAACATTACTACCTCCTTATATCAGCGCCACACATCATTTAACATTACTACCTCCTTATATCAGCGCCACACAACATTTAACATTACTACCTCCTTATATCAGCGCCACACATCATTTAACATTACTACCTCCTTATATCAGCGCCACACATCATTTAACATTACTACCTCCTTATAACAGCGCCACACATCATTTAACATTACTACCTCCTTATATCAGCGCCACACATTATTTAACATTACTACCTCCTTATAACAGCGCCACACATCATTTAACATTACTACCTCCTTATATCAGCGCCACACATCATTTAACATTACTACCTCCTTATATCAGCGCCACACATCATTTAACATTACTACCTCCTTATATCAGCGCCACACATCATTTAACATTACTACCTCCTTATAACAGCGCCACACATCATTTAACATTACTACCTCCTTATATCAGCGCCACACATCATTTAACATTACTACCTCCTTATATCAGCGCCACACATCATTTAACATTACTACCTCCTTATATCAGCGCCACACATCATTTAACATTACTACCTCCTTATATCAGCGCCACACATCATTTAACATTACTACCTCCTTATATCAGCGCCACACATCATTTAACATTACTACCTCCTTATATCAGCGCCACACATCATTTAACATTACTACCTCCTTATATCAGCGCCACACATCATTTAACATTACTACCTCCTTATATCAGCGCCACACATCATTTAACATTACTACCTCTTTATATCAGCGCCACACATCATTTAACATTACTACCTCCTTATATCAGCGCCACACATCATTTAACATTACTACCTCCTTATATCAGCGCCACACATCATTTAACATTACTACCTCCTTATATCAGCGCCACACATCATTTAACATTACTACCTCCTTATATCAGCGCCACACATCATTTAACATTACTACCTCCTTATATCAGCGCCACACATCATTTAACATTACTACCTCTTTATATCAGCGCCACACATCATTTAACATTACTACCTCCTTATATCAGCGCCACACATCATTTAACATTACTACCTCCTTATATCAGCGCCACACATCATTTAACATTACTACCTCCTTATATCAGCGCCACACATCATTTAACATTACTACCTCCTTATATCAGCGCCACACATCATTTAACATTACTACCTCCTTATATCAGCGCCACACATCATTTAACATTACTACCTCCTTATATCAGCGCCACACATCATTTAACATTACTACCTCCTTATATCAGCGCCACACATCATTTAACATTTAACACCGTCTCCTTCAGTTAATAACCTGTTTGATTTTCAGTTCTAGGACATCTCTAATCTCTATGTACCTAATCTAGGGGTAGGCAAAGAGCTAAACGCTATTATAATATTATTTCTTATCGTGGGCATTAAACTTGCTCCTCTTTTTCCATCTCCGATACGTATACTGTATGATCGGAGAATAGCATGGGGATTATTTTTAATTTGTTTACTCCTGTTATCTTCTGCATAAGGTTAGTTATGCGGCGCGTATTTAATTTCATTATAACAATTTTCGGAGTTTTCTTTCCTTACATCTTTTCATTTTTCTGGCATCAATTATAGTCAATACAACTGTTTGCTACTGTCGAATACTCTCATTGCTAAATTTCATCCCCGATTTTTATCAAAAAAAACTTGTTTTGGCTAGTATTTAGGTCATTGCTAAATTTTTACATTAAGAGCCTATTTTTTCGCAATTTCCCATGCTAAGGCCCTTTTTCCAAATTTACATACATCTTTGCGAGGGCATACTTTCTCTACATACCCTTTTTGGAACAGCACTTGATCGCAAGCACAAGTGCTCATGCTTCTCCCAGCTGATCTACAGGCTACTGCACGGCAATAGGGACGCAAAATGATGGCAATTAAATCACCCTGTTAAAAATAATCTTGAATGTTTAGCAGCGACTATTAGACTAACTAAACCTGATATGCATGTTCTTTATGTAGAAAGTAGATAATATGTAGTTTTTATATCATATTTTAGACTGATATACGGAACAGAGTGGAAACAAAGGATAAGGTAGTTTGAAAAATACACTACTAAAATATCAATAGTTAAAACTAAAAAACTAGTTTTGATTTATGATATTATACCATTATATTTTTCAAGCTGCCTTATCTTTTGTCCGACCAGAATTACAGGATTAATATCTAAGCTGACATTACACCAGGTGACACGACGTGTGCCTTGTGGGATATAGAGACTGGACAGCAAACTACCGCGCTGGTGGGACACGAGGGCGATGTCAACTGCATCTCTCTTGCTCCTGACGGCAACACATTCATATCAGGTCCGTAACCGGGACCGTTTCTTTCTAAATAGTAAAGACGTTAATATTAGGAACATTGTTTTGTGATAGGTTAACTCTGTATTTCTTTTAGTTTTATGATTTGAAATAAATTTAATACAAATTTTGATCGTTCATGGAGATGGCGTGGATGATGGATATGAAATTAAAAGAGAAATGTTAAATTTATGCCTGTCACGGCGATTTCTATCAAATCTGGTAACCTGTAATTGGCAGGATCCTGTGATACATCGTCCAAACTATGGGATATTCGAGACGGTATGGCAAACCAGACCTTCTACGGGCACGAACTGGACATAAACGCTATTTCTTTCATGTCTAACGGACTAAACTTTGCGACGGGCAGTGACGATGCAACCTGTCGAATGTTCGACATCCGGTCAGACCAGGAAGTTGCCTGCTACGGAGGTGAACACATCATCTGTGGGATCACTTCCGTTGCTTTTAGCAAGAGTGGCAGGGTCCTCTTTGCTGGGTATGATGATTTTAATTGTCATGTCTGGGACGTGTTGAAATTGGAACGAGCCGCCCAATTGATGGGGCACGAGAACAGAGTAAGCTGCTTGGGGGTCAATGAGGAGGGTGTGGCTCTCTGTACTGGAAGCTGGGATAGTTTCCTCAAAATCTGGAATTAGGGGGACTTTGTATGTCATAATATACACTGACTATCCCATATATATATCAGGCCCTGTAATACTTGTCTCTTAAAACTGTAAGAATTCTGAAAGTGTAAAAGGTACAATAATAATCATTACTTATACTCACCTACTCTCAATGTATGAACTTAATGTATATCATATCTTGGCAATTCGGTATTTGGTCATATCTTGGCAATTCGGTATTTGGTCATATCTTGGCAATTAGGCATTTGGGAATTTGTAGATACTGTATTAAGTTAATTCATCATATCATAGAGGTCATGTTCAGTATTCACAGTAGAATTAGCACCGTGGTGTACCTACCTACCTACCTATTGGTAGTGTGTTACCATGTTTACTTACTGGTGTGCCTACCTACCTATTGGTAGTGTGTTACCATGGTTACTTACTGGTGTGCCTACCTACCTATTGGTAGTGTGTTACCATGGTTACTTACTGGTGTGCCTACCTACCTACCTATTGGTAGTGTGTTACCATGGTTACTTACTGGTGTGCCTACCTACCTATTGGTAGTGTGTTACCATGGTTACTTACTGGTGTGCCTACCTACCTACCTATTGGTAGTGTGTTACCATGGTTACTTACTGGTGTGCCTACCTACCTACCTATTGGTAGTGTGTTACCATGGTTACTTACTGGTGTGCCTACCTACCTACCTATTGGTAGTGTGTTACCATGGTTACTTACTGGTGTGCCTACCTACCTATTGGTAGTGTGTTACCATGTTTACTTACTGGTGTGCCTACCTACCTATTGGTAGTGTGTTACCATGGTTACTTACTGGTGTGCCTACCTACCTTTTTGGTCATATCTTGGCAATTCGGTATTTACCATGGTTACTTACTGGTGTGCTGAACTTCCCAAGGTAACCTTTTGATCGGCGCTGCAAATTTTTTTTCAAAACTTCTAAAAATTCTTACAATTGTCTACAAAACATTACAAAATTTGTTTAACAATTTGTTACCATAAAAGTAAAAGGAATTTTAAAAATATCTAAGAAATTTTTTAGCAGAAGTATTTTTCTATTATAACTTTAAAGTTACTCTTTTTTGCTTGGAACAGGAAAGCGAGCCGCAACATAGGAGGCATATATCCCGGTTACCTAGATATTCCAAGAATATTCGTTCTACAACTAGTGTACATAGTTTTGATGTTTGGATATTGGATCCCTGGCCCTGGTAATACAAAATCTGTTTTCCGAGGTGCGGTTTTTAATCTTATTTGATTGACAGTAGTGCGTTATCAGTAGTGCGTTATCGTAGTGCGTTATTATTGATAAGTAGATGAGAAACCAACCTTTATTAATTTATGCCATAATTATGTCTGCATCTGATTTAATGTGAACCTGAGGCACCAGTGAACAGTGCACACAAAACCCATTTGTTAGCCATTTTAATAGGATGACAGGGAACCATTACAGTCACTTCATGTCTAATCCTATAATATCTAGTACATACTTTTTCAGCATTTTTCATCAAAAGTTTCTTAACTGAATCTTTTGTTTATTAGCCGGCTACTTCTTAGTTTGAACAATACAGCCTTGTGGTTACTGTGAAGGGTATTTGAAGGGCAATACATTTTAATTTTATTCAACACTGATCGACAAGCTTTTAAGTTTTTAATTGGAGTAAGGAGAATCAACTATTTATTTGATATTTGATTGTTGTATTTGATTGTAAATGAAATATTCTGTAGTTGATCTTGAGCTCATGTTTTAAATCTAAGGGTTGACAATATTAACTTAATTCTTACAATGCCTTGAAATAATATGACAAGTTTTTATGAGATTATCGTTAAACAGCTCCTCAGAACCTGCTGACCCACGAATTTATTGCAATCTTCGTCAGGTTATATTGTTCGTATAACTATATAAACAATAGTTTGTTTATGTCTTATAACGATCGTAGATTTACTCGCTGAATAAGCCAAAACGTTTTTTTCACAACCATGTGGGGCATTTTGTATTATTGTAAGGTTAAAGATTAAGCAATTTATCGCGAGATATTTAAGTGTAACTATTCCGTGAAACGAACTTATTTTGACATGCTACATCTGTCTTGAATTTGATTGGTTGAAATTGCCAGCTGATTGTACGATAGCTGTCTTTCGTGACAGTATGATATGCCAAAACAGGTGTGTTTCTTCTGTCAGTCTAAAGTGAAGTTTATAAATCCTGATGTCGGCCCTTAGATAAAACAAGGGGTTTATTATACAGTGCTTTCCTGATATTTAAGATTTAAGGTACTATACTTAGTGTTTAAGTTTATTTAGGCAATGAATTTAACCTGGTAAACTGAAATTTCACTGAATTTCAACCACCCTTTTCTTTGGTGCTCATTTTGAGCATTCCATTTCTGTTCAGTCAAGTCTCACCTAAACTTTTCAATTATATATATCTTGAAAAGGTATTGAAATTTGATGGTCATATTGATTAAATCTAAGATAAGGGATCGTTTACATATCTGAAATCTTCAAGTTTTTGCTGACGTAATAATATGTAATCGGTACCTTCTCATGATGGCAGTGCCTTAATTTTAGTGTTAAGAAGTGATATAATAAATGTTATATTAATAATGAATTGGTTATTGTATTCTGAGCATAGATACTAGCATCATTCTAAGTGTACACACCGTATATTTTACTATTGGATGGGGAAGCAGACTTGTTGTGAACGTACTGTGTACAAGACACGATATTTTCAAGTCAGTGTTAAAACGAGCTAGCTCGGCTCCCTAGTTGTGTACACTGTGTGTATATATTGGGCTATCGCTTAGATTAATTGGGTTGGAGAATCGACCATGCATACATGCAGATATATTAACGGACGCTATTTTCACTGATAAGCGATTGGGAAAATGTATCTAGGTCGACATAATGCCGAGTTAGGTATTATCCGAAAACTTTCGGTTTTCATGATAGATGCTCAAATTCGATCGAGCTACCGGCTCCATGCTTACAAGCTCATCAGTGAGAAATTGTTTGTTATCTAGCAGTTTATTCTTATTTCCGGGTGGTCAGTGAACTGTACCAGGACACGATATTATCAGGCATTATTATAACGAGCTAGCTCGGCCCCCAAGGTGTGGACACTTTGTGTTGAACATGGATTAATTGAGTTTTGTGTACTACAATAGATACGACGCAATACTGAAGCAGTCGCTATCTAAAATTTGATTGAAATCTCTTCGCTGACTTAAACATTCACCACTGCTAACCCATTTTAAAAGATCACAAGTTCTCCCTAGCTTGATATGTTAGATTAGCTGCATGACCCAAAGTAGACGGAGAACCTTTTAAGATGACTTTTGAGGCGCCAATACAAAAGCTGCTTACGCTATCTACCTATTGGTAGTGTGTTACCATGGTTACGCTATCTTGCGGATGATGAGTAATCACTCCACGCTCTACGCTCGCTATCTTTAATTCGTTATGAAGGTACCTTTAATTCATAATGAAGGTAGCTTTGATGGATATTCCAACGTCATTTCTAAGCTGTAACATTTTTAGAAGTTCTTTAATTTATTACCTGATAGTTGACAGGCAATCAGCTAAAATTATTCCTAGTTTTTATTTATTGTTAGTTAACTAAAGTTAAGCATGTAAAGCTAAAAACTGGTCCTTAATTTATTAGCATTAAAATTAAGATCGCTATGCATCTGCACGCTTAAATCAGCACGTAGCTGAACTCAAAGCATTAACTCTTTCTACCATATACTAGGAGATATATAAATAGTTGAGATTGTTGACGATATGGGAGGTGACGACCTTGCAGCGGAAGCCGCTGCCTTGAAACAGAAAATAAGGGATAGTAGAAAAGAGATGTGTGATACTCAGCTTATCAACGAAACGGGCGACATCGAGTCCATCAAGTTGACTCTTCGTGTTAGGAAAACTCTGAGAGGTCATCTGTCCAAGGTTTGTAATAAAGTTTATAAGGACGTCAAAACGTGGTTGCACATTGAGTCAAGAGAAGTTTCGTCCATAAAATCGTGTTCGTAATCATAGAAAACTATCATATCGTTTAATTTCAAACATTATTGATACGACTGGTTAGAAATAAGAATTCCTCATTATTAATATTCAAATATCATCATTATTAAATTGATTTGAGTATTCAACATTTTTCATTTCCTTATACATCGAGGTAAGTAAGTTTCTTTTTTCTGCCTATATCAATAGTTACCTGTGTTAGTGACACATTTCAAGTGTACCCAAATTCCAACTGTTCTTTCCCACTATGGAGATCGGAGAATGGTCAGACGAAGTCACAATTCTTGTTTAGGTGCGTTTACATTTTTGCTCACAAAAAAGGGTGAACAGTCTCAGTAACTCATTTTTTCCTCAGGTTTTTGCGATGGACTGGGCTGAGGACAGCCGACATCTTGTCTCAGCTAGTCAGGATGGTAAACTCATAGTTTGGGACGCATACACCGCCAACAAGGTCAACGCTATTCCACTTCGTTCTTCATGGGTCATGACTTGCACCTACGCTGCCTCAGGTATGGCAAAATAGATCACTTGGTACTGGGCGGTGTGGTATTTCTTTGTTAGAAATCACATCTTGATACTTTCTAATTCCGTATGACGTGTGTTACAAGACTTTTGTTTGTTGATCCCCCAATATCTGCCCCCTCCCCCTCCGCCTACAATGTCTGCCGTTAAAGTTTGCAGATAGTTTTCAGTTCGTGAACCAAATGTACTGCTTTTTTAGTTTCGAGCTTAACAATATCGATGTCGTTACAACTTATGTATTATGTATAGAAACATAATTTAAGCGCCCCGCCCAAAGCCTGTAATGCTATTCTAATATCTGAAACAAAATGTTGTCGGAGCAACCTGAGCCTTTTATTTATGTTTCTTTTTCAGGAAACTTTGTTGCATGTGGTGGACTGGACAATCTGTGTTCTATATATAACTTGAAGACAAAAGAAGGAAACGTCAAAGTAAGTCTCACCTCCTTGAAGCCTTTAATGTGACATATCAATTGTAATTGTTGTAGTTAACAAAACGCAGAAAGATGGGTAAAATATATATCTATTTCCCTTAATGAGTAATAACCTAACAGGTAACGAGAGAGTTGGCGGGGCACGATGGTTACTTATCATGTTGCAGGTTCATCAACGATGAGCAGATCTTAACCTCCTCGGGTAGGCTCTCTAGTCTCTAATCTCTATTCAATACCAAATCTTGTTACCCGTGACTCACCAGTACTAATAGTACCTAATAGTACTATATATGGGGGGGGGGGGGGGGGGGGGGGGGGGGGGGGGGGGGGGGGGGGGGCCAACCATATTTCAGTATATTAAAGTATATCCCCGGGTCAAAATCGGAAAAAATCCTACATTTTAATATACTTTAATATACCTACAATTAGAAGATTTATATTCTTCGTTAAGATTTACATGATGAACTATATTTTTCACTCAGATTCGCAATATAAGCCTGTTTTAGGACTAGTACATGAATTTCCATCCAGATTGGTCAAAAATTGGCTGAGCTATGAGCTTTAAAAAATATGCCCATATTTGGGCATACGCTTTTGTCCAAATTCGCTTTTGCCCAAATTCGATAAAATTTCAATATTTTTTAATGAGACTAACTCTATGTGAAATATATAACTCAGTGTTTGTTGGATATAGTGGATACTAAGTAAAAAGACCTCCATGAACAAAATTGGGAAAATTGCACATAATATCTCGGTTCAGAATACTAGCCAAAATAACTTCATTAAAATTGAAATAACTCCATCAGTTTTCAATATTTTTTCAAGAACTTTTTGGAATCGATTAAGGATTGCATTTCAAGCTTATTTTGGGCAACAATTTTTGATGTAGGCCTCCAAGGAGATAGGGATATATTAAAGTATATTAAAGTATATTAAAGTATATTAAAGTATATCCCCGGGTCAAAATCGGGAAAATCCTACATTTTAATATACTTTAATATGGTTGGCCCCCCCCCACCCCCCCCCCCCCATATATAGTACTACCTAATAGTAGTCCAGTACTAATGTACTAATCCCGAGTTCAGACGCCATCGTTTATTGTTTTTCATGTCCTTAACCGTGACTATAGAGTCACAGCTTGGATGTGAACCCCATTTTTCTCAAAATTCGACTTTTTGGAACAGAGCCAAAAAGATTAACAAAGTTGAATCGTTGGAACAAATGAGCTTAATAAATTAAATTTGTAAGCTTTATGAACTAATGGCAACCGATAATGGGCATTTTGCTCCTTTATAAAATGTTTTTTTGTTTTTCAAAATCAGGACATTATTTTTGAAACACCCTGTATATACCAGGTGACACGACGTGTGCCTTGTGGGATATAGAAACCGGACAACAAACAACCTCTCTAGTGGGACATGGGGGTGATGTCAACTGTATCTCTCTAGCCCCTGATGGCAACACATTCATTTCAGGTTTGTGACCGGCACTCTTTGTATTGCCATCAAATAACATGTTACTCTCATAGGTATATCGCTTAAGATTAATTGGATAAGAAAAATCGAATCGATCATGGATAATACTTCATTTAATATGAACATATTATAACCCCTATCAAATCTGGTAACCTTCATTTGGCAGGATCTTGTGATACCACCTCCAAACTGTGGGATATCAGAGACGGGTTGGCAAACCAAACGTTCGAGGGACACGAACTAGACATAAATGCTATATCCTTTATGTCTAACGGACTAAACTTTGCGACGGGAAGTGAAGACGCAACCTGTCGAATGTTTGACATCCGGTCAGACCAGGAGATGGCGGTTTACGGAGGGGAGCACATCATCTGTGGGATCACTTCCGTTGCTTTTAGCAAGAGTGGCAGGGTCCTGTTTGCTGGGTATGATGATTTCAATTGTCGCGTGTGGGATTTGTTGAAGATGGAACAAACCGCAGCACTTATGGGGCACGAGAACAGGGTGAGTTGCTTGGGGGTCAACGAGGAGGGACTAGCCCTCTGTACTGGTAGCTGGGATAGTTTCCTCAAAATCTGGAATTAGGGGGACTTTGTATGTCTGGATATTCACTAACGCTCCCATATCAGGTCATATACTTTCAAAACTACGGGAGCTCTGCTTTTCCCAGAGTAAAAGGGACAATTCTCGTTATTCTCATGTCTACACCAAACATTAACACAAACGTTAACAACATTCTACAGCAAATTTCTTTCAAAAAATAGGAACTATAGAAACATCTTTATCATATTTTGGCAATTGGGTATTCAAAAATTTTATCGTAGCCACCGTTCAAAATAAAACTCTTAGTTTCTCCTCAGAATCTTCAAATAAGTATACACATTTTCTCCCCACATTTTTGTTTGTTTAATTATTGGATTCCTGGTATGATAAAATCTGTTTTATCTAATTTGATTCTCGCAGTAATGTGTTATCATAGAGATTTAGTTATAAATCAACCTTTATTATTTTATGCCATCATATGTTATGTCTGCATCTAAGTTGGATTTTTATGCGAACCTGATGTATCAATACAGTTTACACAGCAGCACACCGTTTTTAGCCATTTTATTATGATGACAGTGAAAATGCATATATTGCATGTTCATATTATGGAGTAGATATTTTAATACAACTTTTTGCCTTTCTGCTCCCATTTTTAATGATGATCCGTCATATTTCAAAAATAACCGAACTTTAATTTGATTTTTTGAATTCCCGGTAACTCGTTATGTTGAGATAAGTTTGAAATATTATATAAACTATAATTATACAAATCCTGGCATGTACTTTTTTCTTGGAAAGTTTCTTAACCGAATCAGATACTGCGAGTGTTATAAATGATGTGGCCGGCTACTTCTTAAGTTGCAGAGTAAAGCATGGTAGACAGTAGTTGCTGTTAAGGGTACATGGAGCTCAAGACATTTTAATTTTATTCAACACTGATCGATAAGCTTTTAAGTTTTTATTTGATATTTGATCGTTGTATTTGATTGTAAATGATATATTCTGTAGTTGTTCTTGAGCTCCTGTTTTAAATCTAAGGGTTGACAATATTTACTTAATACAACACCTTGAGATAATACGATATGTTTTTATGAGATTTAATTATCGTATAACAGAATTTCTTCGCAAAACATGCTATCTGATTACAATCTTGATTAATTTTAATCTTCGTCAAGTTATTACACGCAATAGTTTGTTTACCTTATCGGACCTTATTTGGACGGACATTACTTGAACGCTGGAGGCCCTAGCGTTCATCTTAATGTCCGTTCAAATAAAGTCCGTTCAATTAATGTCCGTCCAAGTTAAAGTCCGTCGAAATTTTAAAAAAATTTTTTCTATTTCGAACTTTTTGCCCAGAATATGACAACTTTGAGAACTTTATTGTGCCGCAAGTTAACGACGGAAAGGTTCTCCTTGGTCTGCCGGAGGCACAGAAAACTCTACTACTACTACTACTAGTATATGATGTTTTCAAGGGTCACTTGACGGAAAAAAGTCAACAAAATTATGGCACTCAACAACATAGTTCATGAACTAGTCCCCGCCAACATGACAAACTTGTTCCAGCCTAGCTCTAGATATTATATGGGTAAATCGTGTTGCCAAGGACATTGTCCGACGTTTTTATAGTTCATATTAATAATGAAACAGTGCTAGGAAAGCTCCACGTGATGTCAAGGTTAACCTTAAGTTGTCTAAGATAAAACCACTTCACGCCGAATGGCTTGTAAAAGTTAACACTGAAATGTAGGACCGGGGTAGTTTGATAAAAAAAGGTTTCCATAAAGCTAGAAATCACTGATGCTTTAAGCATGGACTATTTCATGCACGAAAACCCATTTGATGAAGATGATATGTGATATTAGACACTGATCATGTACACATTTTTAAACATTTTTACTGCTTAAAGACTGCTTTTCTTACTAACTGTATAAAAAATGGATTTAAAAATCATTTGCTGAAATTTAAAAAACGTCAAAAAAACGCCAAAAAAACGTCAAAAAAACGTCAAACAAAATTCGGATTTTTGATGGTTTTGAATGCCTTCGAGCGTTCATATTAATGTCCGTTCATAAATATGTCCGTTCATGTAATGTCCGTCCAAATAAGGTCCGATAAGGTATGTCTTTTTATGATGGTAGATGTGCTCACTGAATAAGTCAAAACTTGTTTCACGTTCACTTGGCACATTTTGTATTGTTCTCAGGATAAAGATCGAGCAATTTATCTCGAGATGTGTAAGTGTAAATAGTCCGCGAAACAATTATCCTGTGTCAGCAATTTAATGGTCTGTCAAAACGGACAGACCATGTTAAAATGAAATTATCTGATTAATGATTATGCATTATGTCAGTTCTAAATAAGCCGCTTAATTTTGTCTTTTTATCATCATTTGCAGACGTAATATGTGTCATGTGAACGGTCCCTTATTATGATGGCATTGTCTTTTAGTTTTAATGTTAGTGTTAAGAAGTTATATTATAGATGTTATAAATGATGAATTGGTTATTGTATTCCTAGTATAGATCCCAGAGTAATTTTTTGTTTGCTGCTAGATACTACCAATGGGTCCGGGACTCTACGGCGTAAGACTCTAACCCTAACCCGCCGTAGAGTCCCGGACCCCACTACTAATATCACAGGGCAGAGGATACTATGTCGCGACAAATATAATAGAGCAGTCTGGTGGTGAATTGGACCTATCCGTGTATAACAGTGTAGGTGCATATAGGGCCCTGCGATGATATCAAAGTGACCCAAATTGCAAATCGATGTATCTTGGACACTGATTCCAAATCTGAAATCACTCCATAACATTGCTTCCCTAATGGTTTATTTCATTATTTTTTATTGTTAATTAACAAAAAAACTGCTATTTTCTTATTTTGGACACGTGAATACCAGTTAAACGCAAACAGCAAATTCTACTGTTTATGGTCAGAGTTTGGAGTAATACGGTTTAAGTTTATAGTTACCTAGCTTGCTAGTCTTTCTTGCTGAGAAGCGAGCAAGAGACCAGAAAGCTTGAAGCTAGCCTAGATAACCTTATTTTTAAAAATTTAAAAAAATAAATATGCAACCTACTAAAACCAATGGGGCCCTCCCCGGGGTCATTACATTTACTCTCGCATTTGCGAGAGTCGTCCCAAAGGTGTGAAAGTAGGTCAAGATTTGTTCACACCAAGCTCTAGCATCGCTATTAGTATTTGTTGACCATCTGCCTTCACTGAAGTATGTTTTTAGAGAGTGGAGGCCGACCGTCAGCTTGGGAAGCAGGGCCAAGTGGTAAACAACGTCAAGGCTCCCTTCCACATGGACCATGTTGGTTTTGGCAGATACTGTGGTAATAAGATATGAAGTGAATGAGTGAAATGAAGTGAGTGAAAAGGGTGTAAAAGAGGAAGAGCTTGTAAGGTAGTTTAGGAATGGAAGGAAGCAGGGCATGTACTACAAAAAACAGCTAGTAGTACTGTAAGATAGTAACAATAACCATTGATAATTAAGTAACAAAGACAGCAATATAAATGGGGTGGACAATTTGCCCTTATCGGCCAATAGAACTTTTGTGACCTATTTTGTCTCCTGTAAGTGAAAGTTTAAGAAGTTTGATATACCCCTGCCAGATCGGCATGTCCCCTGCCTGAAATCTTTTGCTAATGTACCATTTGGCAACAATATTAAAGATAACCTAGATAACCTTAACAATAAAAGCTGAACTCAACACATAACAGAGTATATGAACTTACACTTAAATGTTTATAACATGCTGAGAATGAGATGCGTCTCGTTGCCGGTTCTAATTTCTGAAACATGAACAATTAAAACAAATATTAACCATTTTTATTACGGGTTACCTGGGGACCCCAGGCTATTATATTTATGTTCATAATCATAGAGATTCGGCGGAAAGACAAGCTGAGCGCCGCCCAGTAAGATTATGGATTACGGGTACCATCCGTTGATGGGTATAATACTCTGATCGTCCCGGTCTGGAACCCCAGCAAAATCACCGATATAGAAGCAATTGAAAATGTTCAGAGGAACTACACTCGCCGTATCTTAGGTTGTCAGCAATTGGACTATTGGGACCGTCTTAAGAAGCTGGACCTGCTCTCCCTGCAGAGGCGGAGAGAGCGATACATCCTGATCCATACATGGAAGATGGCAAACGACCTTGCTCCAAATGACATCAACATGGTATTCAAGGAAAACGCTCGACATGGCATAAAAGCCATAGTCCCACCACTGAACAACAAATCGCAACGATCAATGGCCACTCATTACGAGAATTCCTTTGGAGTGAATGCAGCGAGACTATGGAACCTCCTCCCACGACAAGTGAACAGTTTAACTGCTCTAGGACTCTTCAAGGTATCACTTGCTCGATTTTTGGAGACTCTTCCCGATACCCCGCCAACCAAAGGATACACCGCCATCACCAACAACTCACTCCTGGAATGGAATCTACAGAAAGATCTGAACCAGGAATGAATGGAGGACGTACTAGTTACTGTTGTCCAGAAGCACTCCCTGCCAAACCAACCTAAAGTACCTAAAGTAAGTAAGTCCATGGTAAATCTGATTTCAATGCCAAACTTGCTGTTTGCTCTTTTATATACGGGCAATACATTTCCAACCTTGTTACTAATATTGTGAGTCTTCTCACCCTGGTCCCCTTTACTGTAATCACCGTGATTAACATAGTCCCGTCACCCTGGTCCCCTTTACTGTAATCACCGTGATTAACATAGTCTTCTCACCCTGGTCCCCTTTACTGTAATCACCGTGATTAACATTGTCCCGTGGGCCTATGTGGGTACGTATTTTAAGTCACATACGGACACTTCATTCAGACCACCATGACAGCCCTGGTATGGTCACAACCGCGGCGGTTACAGGTCTCTTCTGGGTGATGTGGAGTCCTACTGTGGTACGGTTACACCTCTCTGCTATAAAAGGAGAAGACTTGATACCGGCATGGCTGGAAAAAATGCGGTATCTCTACATGTTGGGAGCGTACTTAAACCCGCTTATCTATACCTTGACATATTTTCATCGCCTCAATCAATTTTTAAAAGTATATGATGCAATGCCCGGGGCTGCAGCAGTAGCCGCAACAGCAACTGCAGACACCACGATAAAAATTTATTAAATACAGAATAAATGTTTATTAATCCACGAATCAACGCTCGCGGATCGCGCTTTCTCGCAAATCAACGCTCTCTTACTGATCAGGATTTTATTTTTAGTGCTTAGTCTTACAAATTCATTTTTCGATACAGCATCAAACATGGAATAATTGATATTGATCAAATTATATTATTTTGCTGGTTTCTTAAAAATAATATCTTTAAGAACGCGAGCGTTGATTCGTGTATTTATTCGGTATTTAATAAACTATCTTAGATATAGGGCAGTCGAGTTTTCTTCTTCTTTCTTTCAACGTTGGACAGCTGCACTCGTGCATACCGAATTTTTTGGCAGTCCTTGAAAATTAGTGCCATGACAAGAAGGAGCCATTTAATGATAGGTATATTAATTCAAGTTTTCATCCTTGACCTCGTCCTCGGCTCCAATGACCCACGAGAACCTTTGTCTAAAGAAAAGGTAATTATAACCAAGGATGTGTACGAAATTCCACCTCTTTACTCGATAGAACCTGCAGATTTTCCGATAATAAAAATATGCAGAGATGAAGTTGACGATTTCCTTCTTCGGAATGACACCTCATTTACATACAATAGACCATTTTATAACAAAAAAATGAAGAAAAGGGACAGATTACTTCTATCGCCTGAAGACATTTATGCTTGTCCCATGTCGATGCACGGATATCCAGTATTGGACACAACAAATTGGACGTGTTTGATCCCTGTAAAAAAGGTCTGTGATGGTTTCTCTAGTTGCCTAACTGACGAGTGTGGTTGCGGAGAGGAGACTACCGAGCAGTCAGTAACCCAGACTCCGGTCTTCTACTGTGCTCAACAGCCTGGATGTGTCTCATTTCCACAGGTAACAAAAACATAAGACAATATTTTTCTTTATCAATACAATAGTGCGAATGATCACTAATGGCGACATTCCCATATATATGGATGATGATTAATCACTCTACACTCGACTGTCACGTGACTTTTTCAACCCGTTCTCCAGCTGGTTCTAAACGACTTTTCGAAACCCTAACC